CCTTCTTTTTTGCATTTAGAAGATCTTCTTTTAGGGCTTCATCCAAAGGAGACAAGAGGGCTAATTGATAGATCCTCTTATACGCCTTCTTAGACACCTTTGCCCTAGATGAAATGTGGCTAAATTCTTCTTTATTGAGTTGTTTTAGGGGTTGTTTAAGTAATTTCAGTTTGTGAGCGAGCCTAAACTGAGCCGAACCAACAACCTCCCTACTCCAAACACTCTCAAGAATCATATGAAATCTTTCATGTTTTAACCACATGTTAAAAAATTTGAACGGTTTAGAGTTCTTTGTGGTTTCGGCCCCAATAGTAACCAAAGATGCAACATGATCAAACTCACATTCCATATCAAAAAAATGAGCTCTACATGCCACATTTTGTGTGTTCCAAAAAGAATTTATAAGAACCCTATCCAATTTAGCCCAAATTTCTCCCCTATGCCAAGTAAAAAACTCACCGGTAGAAGGAGTATCAAAGAGAGTAGATTGTATTTTCATGTCATTAAGGTGTTTCATTGCATAGGCCGAGGGAGGGGCAGACCCCCTCCTCTCACAAGGAGAGCCAACACAATTAAAATCCCCCAAAACAACCCAAGGAGCTAGGGTATTAGTGCTTAAACCGGTTAAGTGCTCCCAAAGATCCCTCCTTTGCACAATTGTGTAAAGAGCATAAACAAAAGTCACATAGAAAGGCATTTGTGTAACTTTGCACGTAAACCTAGCATGAACATGTTGTTTATCCACTTCTAATACAACACCTTCTACAAAATTAGGGTCCCAAATGATAGCCATGCGACCCCCATTCATTTTATCAAAATTGGTTATAGAGTTCCATGCATTAAACCGAAACTTCATAAAATTATCAAAAGAAGTAGGAGTCATTTTAGTTTCTAGCAAGCAAAAAATGCGTACCTTATTGTTTCTTACAAAGCTAGCAATAGTATTTTGTTTTGAGGCTTGATTAAGCCCCCTTACATTCCAAGATGCTAAGATCATTAATGATGTTTGGCCTTGACCTCCTTTCTCCTAGCAAGCCGATTCACTTCCCTTTGTGTTTGAACCCATTCTCTATATTTCTCACAACCTTTGTACCTATTAATAAACAAAGGATAAACCAAGGTTATAAAATGAGAGGAGAAATCATACCCTTCCTCCGACTCCCGGGAGAGATTCCAAGCATGATTTTGTAAACGTGAGTCCACTTCTTGAAGCATAACCATCAATTGAGAGGTAGTTATCAAGCCTAGTCATTGTCTCTTTGATTTCACCCCCATGGACCAAATGTATGCAATGGCCTCCATCTTCCTCAAAGTCAATCTTGGTTATCACATCATCAAGATATGCCTCACAGATATCATCAACCACACGGGTTACATTTGTGTTGATCTTTCGTGTATCCAAAACTTTGCTCCCATTACCCATTGGAATGCCATCCTCGAAGTATCTATCAAGAAAGAGCCTATAGACATTTGTCATGAAGGCATCCGAGAATGTGTAGAACTTCCTTTGCCTTTTTACCCCTTCAAGAGACTCCAAGCAAGCCGTAGTGAACCACACACCGGGAGCCTTAGGTCCAACCACCTTTAGATGATGGTTAAGCCGAATGGTAGGTTCATTAAGTTTGTTGATATGCTTGACCTCAATTTTTGGTTCACGGGCCTCATCCACAATCATTGATGTTATAGCTTCATCATCAAAGATATCCTTGAAACCTCTAATTTTCCTTGGGACCTCTTCTTCCTCTTCATGTTGTGTAGTGTACCCGGATGATACCTCCTCTTATTTGTATTATAGGCCCTTTCTTCTTTATTCCCACTCTAACCTTCTTTGTTCTCTTTACCAAGAGGAAAGGATGGTATTCCTTTCTTAACAAGTTGTCGGTTTTGGAGTCCACGTTTTTTTCCTTTTGAGATGCCGCGGCATTAGAGTTGGAGGCCGCGGCAATGTATGATGCCTCCTGTGACACCCTAAAAAATAATGATGATTAAAATAAAGTATAGTGAAATAAAATAAAACAAATATAAATTATTTGATAGGAGTAAATTATCACATAACGCAAAAAAAAATGAAAGAAGCCCAAACTAAATTAATAATCTTATGGAGTAACCATCATCGTGTAATTCAATTACTCAAGACATAGACCCATATTGATGATGATGATGATCATAGATGATGTGTATGGTGCATACCATATTACTATACACCCATATGAAATACACCCATGTATATAACACACTTGCACACCTGCAAACACATCATTACTACATATACATGGGCACACACATCGTTATTACTGATACGTTACTGCGTAGTAATAAGTAATAACAACAATATTTGGCCAACAATAGAAACGGACGAACGTTGGTTTATTTGTGGCATCGAACAGTCCGAGACGCTAGAATCATCATCGTAAATTATATAAACCAGCATACACACATACACCAAAACCTTCATACGTTATTACAACAATAGAAACGTAAAGCGAGGAAAGTGAGGTCTGCGAGTGAAAGGGAGGCGGACGAGGTCGCTGGTAGGAAAGACGGGTGCCGGAGTGCAGTAACCTTGTCTCCGGAGAAGAAGACGTTGTCGCCGGACCAAACTACCACAATCGCCATCGTTCCTCAGACACCGTCGCTTGCCGCCGTCACGTCGGAGGTTGGAGTCAAGGTTTCATTGTCAGTTGTGTTGCCGGACTGTGTGAACGGCAAAGAAGAAAGCTACAGTACCGTATGTAATCCCGTACTCCGTATTCCGTTTAATGCTTTTGGACTGTTTCGTTTGGACTGAGTATAACTGGGCCGAGTTTTTTTTTTTTTTTTTTTTGAACTGCCGGGCTGTGAATTAGGATAGGAGATAATAATAATAATAATAATAATAATAATAGTAATAAACGAAAATAATAAATAGTTACAGGATATAATAAAAGTACTACTACGTATAGTATGATACTAATAATACTAATAAGGATGATTGTAATAAAATAATTCATTGTGATGTTAATCGGGTTAGTACGTAATTAGTCATTTTAATTAAATAAAATAAATTGGCTATTGTAGTTAGACTTGTATTAGTTCAAATAATAATCTGGACAACATTTTACGGACTTCTTTTGTAAATAGATTATAATAACACATGGTGATATTTAAATTATTATTAATGTAAATAGATTAAATAAATGAATTACGTTGGACTAATTAAATAAGTGACAAATGTACTAATTAAGCATAAAACTAAAAATAGACTATTATAGAAATTGATTATTATTGAAGCAATCTAATCATAAGAGGGAATTATAAATAAAGGGTAGATGATTTAGAGTATAGTTAAATTGATATTGATTTTTTATTCTAAATAGAAGGTGATTTGAGTGAAGAACAAGGTAGAGGATTTTACTAGAAGTTCTTGGAACTTGAGGTAAGTTCTATGTCAACCAAAATGCATTTTGACCTCGTATATTATATATATGAACTGTATTTGTACTATTTGAGTAATTTTGTTGAGATAATGATGAATTATGATTGAGAATGTTTATGTAATACTTGAGTTACTTATGTAAAAGTTTTGTATGTTGTACTTTTTTTAAAAATAAGTTGGATATTTTATGGGTAATAATCCCTATTGTAAAACTACATCTATTAATAATAGACATAGCATTTTTGGAAATTAATCAAGATAAAATGAACCTTTCATAATGTGTAGCATCGCGGGAGGAATCCGCGGTGTCGGTTTTCCGCATCCGGATAAATGTGGAGGGTGGTTAGGACTGCTACTACTTGGGAGAGGACCGGTAATCATTCCGGGTAATTATATTGGACCGGTAACCAATCCGCGTAATTCAATGGTATTATGATGGGCAAAAGACCCTTTTTATTTTATTTTTGGTAGTAGCAGTAACCTAGTCACTTGTATAGGGTAATCCCTTTTTGGAGGAGTAGGGGGACATTGACGTCCGAACTACTTGGGCTTCTTACTACTCGGAGGGCTTGGAATCCCTCTTAGGGGGTGTGCACACTTAAGGTAGAAGTTCAGTTTCCATTGGAGTTGTGGTACCGGCAAAAGTCCCGGGGTGGCCGTACATAACAACGGTTCACCGGGCTCAATAAAATATTGAGCACCGCCCTTCGATTCTTACTAGGGAAGTTAGTAAGAAATGAGATTTTGAAAAAAATCAAGGGAGTGAAATTATATACTTATTCAGAAGAAGTTAAGGTGTTTGGTGGGAAATCATTGTTTGGAAATTTTGCACCTTGAAAATAATGTTATCTAAAACCATCTTCGTTTATACATATACTATATACATATATATATACTAGTATTTTCGCCAAAACCTAATTATTTTACGGGGTTGGGTGGAACTTACTTAGCATTTCCGGCTAATTTTTGTTTCTTTTGTTTTCTTTTCTCTTCTGTGTTTTACAGATGATTATCCTTTGGATGATAATATGCATGCTTGAGTTCTTGAGGGCGCTATGTAGAGACATCATCATTAATAAGACTTTACTTTACAAACTTTTGGTTTAAGAACATGTAGTGGACATCTTTATTTTTTTATTTCCCGCACTTTAGAATATTTGGACAAGTATTTTTGGTTAGCCTGTGCACTTAGCTATGGATATGCTAAGTGTGGCGGTAACACACTCAATCCCCATTTATTATTCCGCTGCAACATTTGAGTACTTTAAAATAAAGTTCACTATTTCTTTTTAATAAATTATTATTTCAAGTATTATTTTGGGTGGGGAAATTGGGGGTGTTACAAGTTGGTATCAGAGCGGGGTTTTCTAAAAAGGGTTTTCAAATATTTTCTGAGATTTCTAAAAGATTTTCTTAAAGAGTTTCCAAAAGATTTTCCAAAAATGATTTTTGATTTTTCAAAAATAAAATAAAATAAAAAGAATGAAATAAAAATAAAAAGAATAACTTGACTAGGATCGCGGTGAGGATTGTGTGATTTATTTTCTCTACATGTTTTGTTTATATGTGTGTATTTGCGATTATCTCTGTGTGGACTCATAAGTGAAAAGGGAACTCCAAATAGTGGAGAAATGTGGAGAAAAGCCTAAAAGGGCGAATTCATGGCTAAGGTATGTAAGTCCTTTTATGTGTAGTATTTATGAGGTCTTTGAAATGTGGAATCAATATGTGAAAGCCTTATTATATGCTTATATATCCTTGCGGAATCCTTTGAATAGGATAACTAGGGACCATTTTAGAAAAAAAAAATCGTGTACTAATAGTAAATATTTATTCTTTCATGGAGACATTATGCCACCAAGACGTGACCCGAATGCTGTACCAACTAATGCGGAGTTGGCCCAAACTGTTCACCTGCTTACTCAACTCACTCACACTATTGCGAATGCGGTACTTCAAAATAACCAGCCACGTAATAACAGCAATGACATGGAAACCCGTGTAGCGACGCGAAATCCACCGAGCTTCCTTGGGCAAGAGGACCCAATCATTCTTGAGAATTGGATACGCACCTTTGACAAGCTGTTTGATGCGATCAATTGCCCAGCAGAAGAACGAGTTGACATTGCTGTATATTACCTGCATGAAGAAGCAGACAAATGGTGGGTTAATGTGGGACTAGGATTGCGCGCACAACCGGACTTCACTTGGGAACGGTTCAAGCAAGCACTGCGAAAGAGGTTTTACCCGCCACACGTGCAGGCAGAAAATTATGACAAATTCCTGCATCTGAAACAAGGAGAAATGACGGTGCAAGAGTATCACACTAAATTTGTCTCACTGGCGGAATTTGCATCATCACTAGTGCCCGATGAGGAAAGCAAGATCGAGAAGTTCGTCAGGGGTCTTAATTATGACACACAGAAGGCCTTGAGTGTGCAAGCATGCCAAACATTGGATGATGCCTATTATAGAGCTGCGAAACACTATCGGGTTATTCAACTCCAATGGGAAGCCCATAAGAAAATCCGAAAGAATGAGGAGGAGAATAAAGAAAGGGAGAAGAGACCCAAAACTCATCATCAGGAACAACAACCCCCGTGGAAGAGGGACAATCAGCCACAAGAGGGAAGGAAATTCCCCGGGCAAGGCCCGAGGCATGACCACCGGAACATGAAGAGTGACAGGCATTATTACTGTCAAAAGTGCAAGAGGGATCATCCAGGTGTTGACTGCGACGGCAGAGTGGTGAATTGTTTCACTTGTGGGAAGATGGGACATCGTGCATTCGAGTGCCGGAGTGGATCGGGGGCGGGGTCCCAAGGCCAAGGGATTAATCGAGGAGGTGGAAACCAAGGTTGGAACCACCCTAAAGCTGGAGCAAATCGCGACAACAATAACCGTGGGAATCTAGGCGGGGACACCAACCGAGCCCAGAATCAAAACCAAGGTGGGGGAAACAACAACAAAAATAACGCCCCTAACCAGGGTCGCATATATGTGATGAATCAAGCACAAGCCCGGGCTCATGATGTGGTTGCAGGTATCATTAATGTTAACATTACTCCTGCTTATGTACTGTTCGATTCTGGTGCTTCACATAGCTTTATTTCTTCTAGTTTTGTAAAGAAGTTAAAAATAGAATCTACGACTAGTATAGAATTGAATGTAAAAACAGCAGCCAATAAAGTCGTAGCTTGTAGAGGGGTATACACATATGTACCCATAGCCATAGCTGAAGTCAATCTACCGGGAGATTTGGTGCAATTTGACCTCGAAGACATAGATGTGGTGCTCGGCATGGATTGGCTCGGGAGATACAAAGCAAAGATCCTTTGCGGTGAACAAAAAGTGATCATGAAGAGCCCTGGTGGTAAGCGAGTGTCATTCAAAGCTACGACCGACAAGCCCGGAGTCAAGCTAATGACGATACAACAAATGAAGAGATACGTCCGAAAGGGATGCGAAGCATACCTATGCATGGTGAAAGATCTCAACGCTGAGGACAAGGCAATTGAGCAAATTTCGGTAGTCAATGAGTTTCTTGATGTATTTCCGGATGAAATCCCGGGAATGCCTCCGGAACGAGAGATTGAATTCTCCATCGAACTGATGCCTGGAACCACCCCTATTTCCAAGGCACCATATCGGATGGCTCCGAAAGAGATGCAAGAACTAAAGGAGCAACTTAGGGAACTACTCGAGAAAGGTTACATCAAACCGAGTGTCTCACTCTGGGGCGCTCCGGTTCTTTTTGTGAAGAAGAAGGATGGAAGCTTGAGATTGTGCATCGACTATCGAGAGCTAAACCGTGTCACTGTCAAGAATAAGTACCCTTTACCCCGCATTGACGACTTATTTGATCAGCTGAAGGGTGCGGGTGTATTCTCCAAGATAGATCTTCGATCTGGTTACCATCAGGTGAGAATAGCGGAGAAGGATATACCCAAAACCGCATTCCGCACGAGGTATGGGCATTATGAGTTCACTGTAATGCCGTTTGGTCTGACCAACGCACCAGCGGTGTTCATGGATTTAATGAATCGTGTATTTCGCCCCTATCTCGATGCATTTGTGGTGGTGTTCATTGACGACATACTTGTATACTCCAAGAGTCCAAAAGACCACGAAGAGCATTTGAGGATTGTGCTGCAAACTTTGAGAGAGAACCAACTTTATGCTAAATTCTCAAAGTGTGATTTCTGGAGGGACCGAGTTGCATTTCTCGGTCACATCATTACTAAGGAGGGAGTTTCTGTGGACCCGTCGAAGATTGAGGCAATAACCGAGTGGCGTGCACCTACCACAGTGACAGAAGTAAGAATCTTTCTTGGGTTAGCGGGTTACTATCGGAGATTTGTCAAAGCTTTCTCCAAGACAGCTAGACCGTTGACCAATTTGATGAAGAAAACCACGAGGTTTCAATGGAGTGAAGACTGTGAGATGGCATTTCAAGAGTTGAAAAAGAGATTGACGACTGCACCAGTTTTGACACTTCCATCGGGAACTGAAGGGTTTGAAATCTACTGTGATGCGTCCAAAAATGGTTTGGGCTGTGTACTCATGCAGAACAGGAAGGTAGTAGCTTATGCATCCCGACAGTTGAAGGTGCATGAAGTTAACTATCCGACCCATGACTTAGAGTTAGCCGCAGTTGTATTTGCTTTGAAAATATGGAGGCATTACTTGTACGGTCCGCCGTGCAAAATATTCACAGATCATAAGAGCCTCAAGTACATATTCACGCAAAAAGAACTCAACATGAGGCAAAGAAGATGGCTAGAGCTTGTCAAGGACTATGACCTGGAGATCCAATATCATGAGGGAAAAGCTAATGTCGTAGCGGATGCCTTGAGTCGGAAGACAGAGCACACGAGCCGCGCAGCGTGGATACTACCAGAAGAGCTGTACCAAGAGTTTCAGAAGCTAAATTTGGAGGTCAAGGAGCATGGTGAAGTAGAGGGTGAGATCCGGTTATACACTATGACCATTTTACCTTCTATCTTCGATGAGATAAAAGTCGGTCAACCGGGAGATGTCAAATTGGAACGAGTCAAAGAAGGAATGAAAGATGGGGTCAACGGACCATTTCAACTACACGAAGACGGGAGTATCCGTTATAAGGGGAGGTGGTGTGTCCCTATGAAATGTGAGCATATCAAAAGACAAATCATGGAAGAAGGACACAACACACCCTATTCGGTACACCCGGGAGGAGATAAACTATACAAGGATCTGAAGAAGAACTTTTGGTGGCCGAAGATGAAAAAGGAAGTGGCTGAGTTTGTGTCAAGATGCCTGAACTGTCAGAAGGTGAAAGCTGAAAGATGCAAGCCCAAAGGACTTGTGCAATCCTTGGAGGTACCAACATGGAAATGGGACTCGCTTTCGATGGACTTTGTTGGAGGTTTACCCTTAACGAAGTCCGGGAAAGATAAGATTTGGGTGATCGTGGATAGATTGACCAAGACTGCTAGGTTCATTCCCATGAATGAGACCTGGAGTATGGATAAATTGGCAAGAGCTTACATCAAGCATGTGGTCAAATATCACGGTGTACCACGAGACATTGTGTCTGACCGAGATTCCCGATTCCTATCACAATTTTGGAAGGAATTACAAGCCGCTATGGGGACTAAACTGAAGCTAAGTACTGCATTTCACCCGACTACGGATGGTCAGACTGAGAGGACTATTCAGACGCTTGAAGATATGTTGAGAGCATGCGTGCTGGACTTGCAGGGATCATGGGACGAGCACTTAGACCTTATAGAGTTCTCGTATAATAATAGTTATCACGCAAGTATTAAGATGGCTCCGTATGAGGCGCTTTACGGTCAAAAGTGTAGAAGCCCATTATGTTGGGGCGATATGGTGGATAAGGTCGTTCTAGGGCCACAATACTTGCAAGATACAATGGAAAAAGTCAAAATCATTCAGGCGAGGATGAAAGCAGCGCAAGACCGCCAGAAATCGTATGCAGACTTGGGACGGAAACCAGCTGAGTTTGAGGTAGGAGAGAAAATACTACTCAAAGTATCTCCTACTAAGGGCGTCATGCGATTTGGGAAGAAGGGTAAACTAAGCCCTAGATTCATCGGTCCTTACGATGTTCTGGAGAGGGTGGGAAGAGTGGCCTACAGATTGGCTCTACCCACCGAATTGAGCAAGGTAAGACACGGTTTGAACCCTTTTCTACATTCCTACAAAATTGAATTACCAACTAACGATACCTTGACATGTACAAGGTACACAACGTATTCCATGTATCCCAGCTAAAGAAGTACGTCCATGATGGGTCACATATAATTAATCCCGAGGTAAAATCCTTACTTTTGGGGTAGTTAAAAGGCATACCTATCGATTAACACTTTACACTATCAGGTGATCGAGGTGGATGAGACTCTCACTTACGAAGAGAAGCCCGTGAAGATCCTAGACACTAAGACACGTGAGACTAGGAGGAAGACCGTTCACTTGGTCAAAGTTTTGTGGTCAAACCACCTATCTGAAAATGCCACATGGGAATTGGAGGACGATATGCGTAGGCAATACCCAGAACTTTTCATTTGAGGTAAATTCTTGGTTACGAGGACGTAACCTCTTTTTTTTTAGGGGGTAGATTATAATACCCCGTATAAATATTTTTTTTCTTAGCTTATGCTTCGAGGACGAAGCATTCTTTAAGAGGGATAGAATGTGACACCCTAAAAAAAATGATGATTAAAATAAAGTATAGTGAAATAAAATAAAACAAATATAAATTATTTGATAGGAGTAAATTATCACATAACGCAAAAAACAAAATGAAAGAAGCCCAAACTAAATTAATAATCTTATGGAGTAACCATCATCGTGTAATTCAATTACTCAAGACATAGACCCATATTGATGATGATGATGATCATAGATGATGTGTATGGTGCATACCATATTACTATACACCCATATGAAATACACCCATGTATATAACACACTTGCACACCTGCAAACACATCATTACTACATATACATGGGCGCACACATCGTTATTACTGATACGTTACTGCGTAGTAATAAGTAATAACAACAATATTTGGCCAACAATAGAAACGGACGAACGTTGGTTTATTTGTGGCATCGAACAGTCCGAGACGCTAGAATCATCATCGTAAATTATATAAACCAGCATACACACATACACCAAAACCTTCATACGTTATTACAACAATAGAAACGTAAAGCGAGGAAAGTGAGGTCTGCGAGTGAAAGGGAGGCGGACGAGGTCGCTGGTAGGAAAGACGGGTGCCGGAGTGCAGTAACCTTGTCGCCGGAGAAGAAGACGTTGTCGCCGGACCAAACTACCACAATCGCCATCGTTCCTCAGACACCGTCGCTTGCCGCCGTCACGTCGG